ATGATTTTACTGAGTTAGAAAAAATAATAAAGTTCATTTGGAAAGACAAAAGATCAGGAACTTCAAAGAAACCAGGAGAAAAAGAGGTAAAGGAAGTAGATTAAGCAGTATCAGATTTTAAACTAAATTATGAAGTGAGAGCATTGTTGAAATGTGAAAAGAATAATTTTGATTATTTTAAATTAAAATTTTCTTGTATAAATAAAACCTATGTAGCCAAGAACAGAATGAATGTAGAAAATTGGGAGGAAAACTTTCATAGACAATCTCTCAGAGAGGATGGCATTGGGTTGCAATATTGCTGTGGTGTAGGAAATGATGAGTTGATTGATTTAGAAAAACATGGGAAGACTTGGACTTATGAAGGAAAATGCTATCCACATTCAGAGAAATGATGATAGGAAGAAATGATAGGAGGAAATAAACACAATATGGTCTTACACATATGTGTATGAGTGCATATGATATCTATGTTTATAGATATCTATGTATATGTATGTATCCGCACTCAATTGTAGCCTTCTTTGGGGGGAAAGGAAGGGAAAAAATAAGTAAAAAGTGCTCAGCAGAGAACAAAAGAAAACTAACAAGGAAGCAAAGAAAAGCTAGGCAGCTTTGAAAACAATGTGTAGTATTTATTATATAGGCTTTCTTGAAATGGAAATTTATCATTTTATATTGAATCCTCTCTTATGGTCTGCTATGTACATGGTAATGGTTTTTTTTTCTTTTCTCATTTTGTATTTAAGTTTAAAATAAAAAAAAATTTACAGAAAAAAATGAACAGGATGGTTTCAGAAAACCTGGGAAGGCTTATATGAACTGATACAAAGTGAAGTGAACAGAACTAGGAGAACATTGTATACAGTCATAGCAATATTATAAGGATGTTTGACCAAACATGAAAGACTTAGCTACTTTGTTCAATACCTCAAACCAAGACAATTCATAATGACTCATGATGAAAAACACTATCCATCTCAAAGAGAACTGATGAACTCTGAGTACAGGTTGAAGGATTTTTTTTTATTTTTTGAATTTTTCTTTTTTGAAGCATGGCTAATATATAGATATATTTTGCTTAATTTCACCTATGTAATTTATATTATATTGGGCAGGGAAGGGACTGGAAGGATAAATAGAATTTGAATTCAAAATTTAAAAATAATGGATGTTAAAATAAATAAGCAATACATATATATATAATATATATATATATTAAAAAAGCAATTACTTATGTGAACTCTAGGGTCTGAGTAGTCCATTGCAGTGAATATGGGAATCTCTATTGGGAAACTCATTTTCTCTCCACCCCTCCAAAAAAAATCACTTTATGATATACCTTGTGTGTCTATTTTGTACTACTCTGGCTAGATAGTGACGATGATTCCTACAAAACACAAGAAGAAGGAGTCAAAGATCAAAACCATGTTCTCTAAGTCTAGTTTGCAGAAAACTCCTCTTTCTCCCTCCATATCTGTCCTTCCTACAGCTAAGTCAGAGAAATTGGCACTCCACCCAGGTGGCTTCCAGTCCCAGTGGGAAGATGATCTTGAAGATGAATCCTTTTCCACCTCCAACAATGACTCACAGCAAGTACAGATATGAAGCAGCCAGGCTGAATCAACTTCACCCTTCCTAAGAAGGAATATGCTTTCTTGGTAGCCTTCGTCAGTTTAAGAATGATTAGCTCTTCTGATGTTATGTGTGTATCGGTAGGTATCATGTTCGTCTGGAGTCCACAAATTAGTCTGTGCCCGAGAACAGCACCCCATTGTCCCCTCTACCCCCACCCCATCCCCTCAATGCTTTAGGAAGAAGCATTTGTTTTCATCTACAAAAAATTGCCTGGCACATTAATAAATCCAGGTTGATTGATCTTATAGTCTTAATGTTATAGAGATGACTTGTATTTAAAAGACAACTATTACCCCCCAAAATGTAATTTACAGACAACTTTTCACAAAAATTATCTATTAAAGCATGTTGAGGTCGAGGGATGTGTGTTGGAGGACTCCTCCCATCTTAGAGGAAATCATAGGTTCTTGAAGTCCTGCTGTAATAATAAAATACTGTGTTAGGTGGTGCAGTGGGTAGAGATCAGGAATTCAAATCCCGTATCAGACATGAACTAGCTATGTGACCTTGGGCAAGTCACTTAACCCCATTTGCCTCAGTTTTCTCTATAAAATGAGCTGAAAAAGGCAAAGGCAAACCATTCCAGGATCTTTGCCAAGAAAACCCCAAATAGGGAAACAAAGTCAGGACATGAGTGAAAAAACAACTAAATACAACAACAATAATAAAATACACAGGTACTTTGGTTAAGTAAGGTAAAGGTTACTGAATTTGCAACACATTCAGCATGTATCACATACACTTTCTTGCAGAAATTCTGTTTGACCAGTGAGAATATTTTACCAAAGAATTGCTTGCTTTTCTATGTATCTAATCTGATGAACCAGGGCCTTCCACAAGGAGCTTGGTTCATGGCCAATGACCTAATAAAGTTATTCTACAAGTGCAGGTTGAACTGCATCAACAAAGGTAAACTGCAGTGTTTGAAAAGACCAGATAACTAATGCTATGGCCTTCAGGAGAGCTATAAAAACTCAGCTCCCAGTGGCCTGCTGGAACTGCTCAGCCGGCGATCTCTGGGCGTCTGTGCTAGTGGTGAGAAGACCCTCTCTCCCCCTCCAACCTTCCACTGTGGGATGTCTGGCCTTGAACCTCCAGGGATACTGAGCAGGGTACATCTGGGCTGTGAGCCTCCTGGGCAGGGATTCTTTGAGGTGACTAGCCCAAGAGTGAGAAAAAGAGTACACAGACCACCAGTATGGATACCAATCCAACTTCTGCTATTGCTTCTGATAGGCTGTACCTCTTACAAAATCCTCTTTGTATGAATAGCTTCTCAATACAATTAGATTCTGATTAGTTTAAATAATTAGGATGAGTGATGAATCCTGTCTAGTGGCATTATTCAAATTCACACTATATATTTCCATTGGGCTGGAAACCAATGACTATATTTTATATAATTATAACCTCAGTGCAAATTCAGAGAAATGCAACCACTTCAAGGGATTCATTATTCATGCTAACACAAACTTCACAGACTACAGGGTTGTTTTCCTGTCCTGTCTCTCTTCCTCCTTCCGCCTTTCCCCACTCACCTTTTGGGGCTGCTAGCTTATCAATACCCCATTACAATTATCCTTTCCACATTGTGACTTTCTCCATTGCGGTTTTGATATGTCACGGGTTGGCATAAGGCATTGGGAGTTTTGTGGAAGCCACAGATGACATGCAAAAGCCAGTTGGTGACACAGAAAAAATTTAGAAACTCAGAAATGCATAAAATATATGTACAGTATTGTATAATATCAACATGTTTTATCATTTAATGCCACAATATTTCAAACTTCTTCTTTGGTACAAAGGGAGGGTCAAAAAATTTTATGTGGATTTTCCAAATCATGAGGGCGCCATGCCCCTAACCCTGTGATGTGGAAATGATAACTGTATTTTACTGTTAGGGATAGGGATAGTCACTGGATCTGTGATTTCATTGGAACTCCAGGAGAGGAAACTTCCTTTACCAATGCAAGTCAGCCCTTTCTCTGAAACTTAGAGCCTAATAGAGTTGCCTAGAGCTCTGTTAAGTGACTAACCCAAGGTCACACAGCCAGCATGTGTCAGAGGCCAGATTTGAGCCCAGGTCTTCCTGACTCTGAGGCCAGCCTTCGAGCCTCTATAACTACTATAGCACATTGCCTCTCTGTTATCTTTATACTAAAAAAAAGGGTTTTTTTTTAGTGTTAATAATAGGTGATTTTGAGAAGGTAGGCATGCCTATTACTTTTGATATCAGAAACCTACATAGAAGTTAATGAACCAAGACAACAGGGAGGCTAGGACCAGGGGCTCAGGTGACTTTCGTCTCCCCCTCTGTCTCTGTGACCGAGGATTTCTGAGTATCCTCTGTACCCTCTGCTCCAATGCCTCTGAGCATATTTTTCCAACGGGTCAGACAGTTCCTGGCAGAGGAACGGATCTCCCTACTTCGCTGGGCATAGATAACAGGGTTCACCATGGAATTGACCAGGCATAGCATGGAACAAAAAGCAAAGACCTTCTTAATGTGTTCATTCAATGAGGCAGCCAAACTGTAGACCATGAGGGTCAGTACAGGCAGCCAGCAGAGAAGCAGAACCAGCACTACCACTCCCAGGGTCTTGGCCAACCTCACATCGAGCCGTATCCGAGACACGCCTGTCAATCGCCTCTGTTGGTACACTACCAAATTCGACGTGTGCCGGTAGGCCTTCCATAGGACATAGGTGTAGGTGTAAATGATGGCAACCAGCAGAAGGATGATGAGCACGATCCAGCTGAGCAGGTAGTCATTGGGAATTAGGGGAAAGAGCTCGGAGCAGGGTCTGGGGCAACAGGTCCACCCCATGAGCGGCAGGTAGGAGACCACCACTGAGATGGTCCACATGGCTGCCAGTGCGGCCAGTGCCCTTCCCCGGGTGAGCAGGGCCTTGCACTTGGCAGGGTGGCACAGGCAGAGGTAGCGGTCGATGGCGGTCAGCAGCAGGCTGCCCACAGAGCCCGTAAAGGTCATGGTGACACCCCCAAGTTTCAGGAGGAAGGCGGTCCTGGATTCTTCCTGGTGGAAGACATGGAATTTTACAAAGCTGATGACAAAAACCAGGCTGGCCAGGAAGTCAGCCCCTGCGAGGCTGCTAATGAACAGGTAAGAGGGTTTTCTGCGGAGCCTGGGGGAGGACAGGATCAGGAAGAACACAATGGCATTCTCCAGGACACACAGGATGCCTAAGAGGGAACAGAGCACGGCGATGGCCGTCTTCTGGGGAAAATCTAGTACCATGTAGGCCCGCAAGGCGTCAGAATCCAAGTGTCCCTGGGAGGTATTGGTAGAGTTCCAGCATGTGTCCATGGTGGGCCTGGGTCTCTCAGACCTCTGTAGAAGGAACAGACATGAGGAAAGAAACCATTAGATGCTCCACCATGCCCCAGGGTGTGTGGGAGGTGTGGCCAAGCCACTGGAAAGGGCAGTCCCCCAAACAGAGACAGCCTGGGGACAATTTGTCTTCTATGTCCCAAATCTCCCTGTTCTGGTGGTGATCTCCCAAGTTTTAGAGTCCCAGGCCTCCCATTCTTCCTCACTCTTCTCCATCACCATAGGCCCTTAGCACCTTTAATTATCCCCAGGTGTAAATGACTGATACTCAAAGTGGATTGTGATTCAGACACTTATAATTGTTAACCCAGGCTTGAGGCAGACCTAAGGCCCTATCCTGTAACTCAGTCCTTTGCATGGATATTATATAAGCTCTTATGGTCCTCCACCACGTTTTACTGCTAGTCTTGCAGCATTCAAAGGTGGGTCAGGAAATGAGATAGAGAAGCCATGACTCTAGGAGCCCAATCCCAAGAGCATAGATAGAGAATGATACAGCAAGAAGGGACCTTTAGAATGAAGACTGTCAGAACTGAAACAACCTAGAACAGAGAATGTCAGAGCTGGAAGGGGCCTTAGAACCCAGAATGTCAAAGCTGGAAGGGGCCTTAGAACATAGAATGTCAGAGCTGGGAGTGCCCCTAGAACACAGAATATCAGGACTGGGAGGGCCCTTAAAACACAGAAGGTCAAAACTTGGAGGGGCCTTAGAACATAGGATCTCAGAGGTGGGAGGGACCTTAGAACCCAGAATGTCAGAGCTGGGAGGGGCCTTAGAACAGAATGTCAGAGCTGGGAGGGACCTTAGAACACAGAATGCAAAGGCTGAAAGAGTAATCTTTGCAGAAGAGTTGATGAGATTTTAAAGGCCTTCACAATCATGCTATACAAAGTATCAGTTGAACAAACCAGGGTCATAACATTTGAAGGCCTAAAGGGACTCCAGTCACCATCTAGTCTAATGCATCCATGGAAGGAATTCCCAGTCCAACCTAGCTGACTAGTGGTTTTCCAACCTCTGTTTGAAGACCTCCAAGGAGCGGGTTGCTGCTGGCTCTCTGGGCAGCCCCTTCTGCTTCTGGGCAGCTCTAATGGTTGGGAAGTTTTCTTTACATCAAGCTTGCATTGGCCACTGTAGTTTCTACTGCTCCTGAGGCCAGGCAGAATGAGTCTAATGCCTCCATCCCCCAATCATCCTCCAAGTACTAGAAGACCATTATTAGGTCCCTCCTGAACCTTCTCTGCTCAAGCTTAAATGGGCTTGGTTCCTTTGACAGATTTTCTTGTGTCATGAACTTGAGGCTTGGCCATGTGCTGTTCATTAACATTTTTACCAATGACTTCAATGAAAGTATCAATGGCCTCTCCAAGATCTCATTCACTTTTTGGGGGGCTGCCATATCATATTGTTGACTCAGTGAGCTTGCAGCCCACTGAAACCTCCAGATATTTTTCAGAACAACTGCTATTTACCTATGCCTTCCCCATATTATATTTGTAAGATTTTATCCCTATTGAATTTTATCTTAATAGATTCAAACCCAGGCTATAACCTATAAAGATCCTTGAGGATCTTGAGTCTGCCATCCTGTCTGTTGGCTATCCCTCCCAGTTTCGTGTTGGCGATAAGGTTGGTGAGTGTGCCGTCTATCCCTTTATCCAAGTCATTGATAAAAATGTTAATCAATAGCACATGGCCAAACCCAGATCCTTGGGGCACCCCACTGGAGACCACTGGCCACATTGGCATTGAGCTATTAAAAGCCTCTTCTTTGAGTCAGCCATCCAACTAATTTCTGCTGCCATTTATTTTGTTTCATCCATATTTTCCCATTTTCTTAAAAAAAAATAGTATGTGATTCTCTATCTAAAGCTTTGCTCAAGTCTAGAAAAACTGTATCCACAGCCATCCTCTCACCTACCAGTTTAGTGATCTGATCAAAGAAAGGAATGAGGGTCTTCTAGCATGAGGAGTTCCTGATGAAGCCAGGCTGCCTCTTGACATCATTGTTTACCCTTCTAGATGTTCACCAACCATGTCTTGAATTATCACAGGTGCTTTAACCTACCTAATTTAAGATCCAGTTCAGTTTGCCCTTCCTTAGGTACACTCATAGCCCACTGACCAGAGGTTCGCCATATTGATGCTCAACTTGGGGTGGACACTTGATTGGCATAGACCACTGCAGCTCAGAACTCCGGAGCTCCAGACATGCACCAGGCTTGTCTCCCCTGTGTTGTTACCAACTCTTCGTGGTCCCATTTGGGGTTTTCTGGGCAAAGATACTGGAGTCATTTGCCATTTCCTTTTCCTCATTCATTTTACAGATGTAAACTGAGACAAACAGGGTTAAAGCGACTTGCCCAGGATCACGTAGCTAGTAAATGTCTGAGTGACCCTGAGCAAGAGATGCACCAGGCTTGTCTCCCCTGTAGTCATGATTATAGGCATGATGCCCAGTAAGAAAAGACTTTCTAAGAAATTAGTACCACCCAAAGATAGCTGCCACAGGAGGTGAAACATTCTTCATCACTGTACGGCCTCATGGATTCATAGTCTTAGAGCCATAAGGGGCCATGGAGGTCATCTAGCCCAATCTCATCTCATGGAAAGTGAGGCCCAGACTTAAAGTAACTTGCCTAAGGGAACACAGATAAGTAGCAGAGCTAAGAATGAGCGATCTCAAAGGTTCCTTCTAGCTCTGATACCTGTGATCTTAACACACCCCATGCATCTCACAACTCTGCATACACCTCCTCCCCGCAACCTTCACTAGCAGGAAAGGGGTGGGGGCTGCTGCCAACATGAAACACTATAAGAGGGGCATTTCAATGAAACAAGTGCCCTTGCTTGAAATGTCATCATGGTCTAAAAAAGAGGAGAGAGGGAGGAAGTGCTCACGGCTGGAGTCATGGGCTTGTGGTCAAGCGTGGCAAGACAAGTCTTTTTTCAGCACTTTCTAGAAGACCCCCTTGTGCTCCCCTCTTTCTCTTCCCCTACCTTGTTCCGGAAGCAAGGTCTCGGGGGATCTGAGAGGATCCAAGTAGATCCTCCTCACCCCTCTGGTACTGCTACAGCGGGCTGCCCGGGCTTTGTCAGCCATCACTTCTCCATTGTTGGAGAAGGGAGACTAAAGAGCAAGCAGAGGAAATGACTTACCCAATCCTGGAACTTTCGAGTCAAGACGAGTGATAGGAAGGTTTCTGGGATCGGGGAGCCAAGCTTTACTGGCCCCAACAGACCCTTCCCTGGAGAGTCTGGGAGTCTGGCAGGTCGGGCACCAGCATTGTTACTGTGAAGGACAGTTAGAGCAATTAGAAAAAAATCATCGGGTTGATGTGACCACACATAACCACAGGATACGTGAAGCAATAGTCTGCTTATTTTTACTTCATGAAAGCACAATCTCTTTTTCTTCTAGCAGAAAAGGCCCCAAGCTTTGCACAATAAGCACTCTAGGCTCGCAGGTCCATAGAACTTTTGTTCCAGTTGGCTTTGCACCGATGTCTCAAGGACTATATTCTCCTTTGAGCGTCTTTGCCTATAGAAAGGGGCTTCTGTTGAGACTTTAAGAAAGGAAATGTTACAGGTGGAGGAACTGTGACCTTGGGTGTGATCAGGGGGATTTTTGACTAGAAGTGAAAGTGTTCTCAGGTCCGTGAGAGTGTGAGATACGGTCACACTAAGGTTTGGTTTGGCACCTACTGGGTATAAAATACAGGTGACTTCCCTGAAACCATAGTGGCACAGTAGGTTTGCATGCAGCTGGGTTTCTCTGGAGCAGAGTCAATGTCTACTCCACATAAATGTGTGAAGACAAGGAATTTCAGAGAGTTAGAAATGGAAGAAATTATAGAACATAAGGTACCAGAACTGGGGCCACTGACTTGGCTCAAAGGCCAGAAGACTTAGTACATTGAAGGGTAGAAGGTAGCAGGTTATAGTTGGAAGCAACCTTAAGATACAGAATGTCAGAGCTGGGAAGGGCCTTAGAACACAGACTGTCAGAGCTGGGAGGGCCCTGAGAACACAGAATGTCAGAGGTGGGAGGACCCTTAGAACATAGCATGGCAGAGCCAGGAAGGGCCTTAGAACACAGAATGTCAGAGCTGAGAGGGTTCTTAGTATATAGAATTAGAGCTTGAGAGCCTTTTTTGAACATAGAATACTAGAACGAGATCCTAAGAGCATAGAATATCAGTGCTAAGAAGAACCTTAAAGCAAAGAAGGCTAAAGCTGGGGGAAACTTAGGGGGTACAATGTTAGAACATGGAATTTTGAAGGTGACAGATACCTTACAAGAGAGAATGTTGGTGTTGAGAAAGCACCTAGAACATAAAATGTTATAGTTATGAAGTCCATCAAAGGGGGACCTTGGAACATAGAATATTAGAACTGGAAGAGGCCTTAGAACATAGGTTGTTGTTGTTGTTGTTGTTGTTTTTTCGGTGAGGCAGTAAGTGACTGGCCCAGAGTCACACAGCTAGTGAGTGTTATGTGTCTGAGGCTGGATTTGAACCCAGGTCTTCCCTGACTCCAGGGCCAGTGCTCTATCTGCTGCTCCACCTAGCTGCCCCTAGAACATAAGTTGTTAGGGCTAGTGGAAACATAATATAGAAGGTTAGAACATGGAATTGTGAAGCTGAGAGGAACATTAGAACATAGAATGTGAAAGTTATCATGGACTAGAAACCCTGATTGAACTTTTTCTTTTAAGGATAAATTAACTGAGACCTAGAGAGAGGAGGCGCCTTGTTCAAGTGCCCATGGCTGGTGCATGGTGCCAGCATTCAAGCTTCTTGCCTCTGCAGGCTGTCGTCATCGTCTTCTTCTTCTTCTTCTTCTTCTTCTTCTTCTTCTTCTTCTTCTTCT